AAAAAGAGAATGATGTAGTTTCCAGTTACATTCTCCACAGTTTTAAATTCAGCGTTTTCTTTCTCTTAGTTTGGTTGCCAAGCAAACTTAGATAGTCCAGTCTATCTTGTAATCTAACTCATTCGCCTTTCCAAACTACAAGGTGAATTTAAAAGCTCAACCAGAATTTGAACATCGTTCGATGATCCTATAAAACATAATTAACATAGACCATATACAATTCAACATGAAAAAGACGATGGACATAAAAGCAATACCAATCCAAACAGATAACTGAAATCTTTTATAAGATCAGCGTTCCATTTAAATATGATCACGTCGTCGTCACGTGGGCGATGTTGTGAAAACGTATTCCTAAAATTTGAGTATTTTGAATGAAAAACGAAAAGAATTTTATTTTGATCTAAAACTTATATTTCAGTTATCTGTTTGGATTGGTATTGCTTTTATGTCCATCGTCTTTTCCATGTTGAATTGTATATGGTCTATGTTAATTATGTTTTATGAATATGTCCTGAAGATGGTCTATTAGACCGAAACGTCCGACGTTGACATTAAGCATTAAAACAGCATAATCGCATATTAGGATTTTTGTTTGTTTTTTCAGTATATTTTTCTTCATATATATATATATATATATATATATATATATATATATCTGAAATAACGATGTATATTTATATATGAAGATCAATATTGGGGAAAATGTATGACAAAGTGGAAAAGGTTTTCTTGTGATGCATTTTGTCATTTAGGACTTGATTGGACTATGTTTATGTTGGTGTGATTACACATGTGCACGAACAGGGGATGCTGGGAATATTAAACTTGACAGAAAAAACGGCCTCTACTGACAAATATATATATATATATATATATATATATATATATATATATATATATATATATATATATATTCAGTGTTCATTATATCAATCTTGAGAACAATATTGGAGAATAATGTATGAGAAAGTGGAGAAAGTTTTCTTGTGATGCATTTTGTTCTTTAGGACTTCATTGGACTAAGTTTATGTTGGTGTGACTTCACATGTGTACGAACAAGGGATGCTGGGAATTAAAGATTTTACAGAAATCGGCCCCTACTGACAAAAATATATATTCGAAAGTGTTCATTATATATCTCTTGAGAACAATATTGGGGGAAAAAAGTTTTCTTGTGACTGAATTTGTTATTTTGGTGTGACTACACATGCGCACAAATGAGGGATGCTGGGAATTTTTGTTTTTTAATTTTTTTCACAGATCCCATATTTGATACGTATCAAAAACAGTTTTAAAAAGAAAATCTGTCTATATCGGATCACACACACACACACACACACACACACACACACACACACACACACACATATATATATATATATATATATATATATATATATAGTGTTATATATAAAATATATGACAAAAATGTATGACAAAGTGGAAAAAAGTTTTTCTTGTTATGTATTTTGTCATTGGACTAAGTTTATGTTGGTGTGACTACACATTCGTATGACCAAGGGATGCTCGGAATTTAAAGTTTTGCAGAAAAATGGGCCCTACTGACAAAAAAAGAAAAAAAATTGTCCTACAAACTCTATCTAAATTCAGCATGAAATTTGTTAGTATTACATCTAAAACAGTAAAAGACTTAGTCAATACTAAAAACAATAAGTTAAAACTTGAAGGGGAATTTACTTGTAATAATTGTCACAAATACACAGGAGAAAACTCAAGGAATTGAAACAAAATATATGAACAAAAAAGGGACATTTTACAAAACAATACATCAAATGTGTTTATTGCCCACCATAACGAGACTGACCACAATTTTGACACAAAAAAATGCTACTCTGATCAAAGTAGAAAATAATTTACTGTGACATATCTAGAGAGTGCCTTGATTGCCAAGTTCTCTACAGTAAATTTATGCCCTGGCTCTTACAACATTTCATCATTTCTGGCAGAAATTCTATTATGTGGAGATATCTACTAAAAAAATGTACAAAAACATTTAAAATCCTGGATTTTGAATGTGTGTGTGTATATATATATATATATATATATATATATATATATATATATATATATATATATATATATATATAAATGAAGAAAAGTGGAAAAAAGTTTTCTTGTGATGCATTTTGTCCTTTAGGACTTCATTGGACTAAGTTTATGTTGGTGTGACTACACATGTGTACGAACAAGAGATACTGGGAATTAAAAATTTAAATAAAATTTTTAAATATTATTATTTTTTTATCTAGCCTATTTTATGTAGATTCTTTTTATTTTTCTTTCCATCCCTTTTTTGTTTTCGCAGATATTCCACCCTGTAATAATATGAATTCTGCCAGGAATAATAAAAACTTTGCAATTGGCCTGGCGCAGATTTACTATAGATGGCCTTGCGATTAAGGCAATCTCTAGATATGTCGTCGTAGTGAATTGTTGTTCTTACAACATTTCATATGTGTGTATGTATGTTTACTTGCGTGTATGCATTTGTATCTATATGAGTGTGTCTATATAGTGATGCTTAAATTCTAAGTATATGTCTGTGTCTGAGAAACAAAAAGTGATTTGAAATCTCAATGTACTTACAGTATGTTTATACTTGTATTTACATACAAAAAAAACAACTGGTAAGTAAAATGGTATTTTTTTAAAAAGAATTTCCCATCCCACTTTTAGCTTCCTATCTTTTTTTATCCTCTTTGGGAACCCATTTGTTTGGGGCTATTTACTCTATTATTTTTTCACCACATTTATTTTTACATCTTTCTCTTTGCTGAAAACCAGCAGCATTGTGGAAAGCGAATGATTTCTTAACTTTTTTTTTACCGAAATTTCTTTACCAAAACATACGCCTCCCGTTTTGTTGTCTTTTTCATTATATATATATATTTTTTTATCTTCGTCAAATGCTTTGGTTTTATAAACCGAACAACCATTTTAACCCATCGCAAAACATTTTTATCTCAGGCAAATCTTTTTTTTATTTACATAAAAAAAAAACTGGCTGATGTTAATTCGGTTAAGTTTGGGGCGATCTTTTGTTATTTTCTTTTCACAGATTGAACAAAAAATATCTTCTAGAGAAAATTTCGATTTCTTTTCTTTTGTTTGTTTAAAGAATTTTAGACCCTGTACTCAAATTTCGATCTTTTTTCGAAAATCGATTTTTATTGCCCCATTCTCAATACGTTGATTTGGGTTTATTTTCATTTCTTATTTAAATTTCGTTTTTTTTTTCTTAAATCTGTTTTCTTTTGTTACTTTCGTTATCTTCTTTCTTTCTTTCTTTCTTTCTTTCTTTCTTTCTTTCTTTCCTTCCTTCCTTCCTTCCTTCATTCATTCAGTCTATTCTCTTTATTCTCAGTCTTTCATTCATTATGGCGATTTTCATTCAATCTTTGTATTCCCTGTTTATTCGCTTGCCTTTTTTTGTTCATTTTAGTTTTTTATTTATTTACAAATTTCATTCTTCATTTCTTTCTCAACTGGTTATTCTTTTTTTCTTTTACTCATCTTGTATTTCGACTGCACTATTCAAGTTTTTAATTAACCTGGTCTGCTGCTTCTGAAGGCGTTTTTTTCTCCCCATGATTGGCTTAACGCGTTCCGAATTATTCTTCTTTCAGTCTTACTCTCTTGTCACTTTCTTCCAAGTCAAAATATTTTCCCGCTCTCTACCTCGGCTACGTATAACAAACTTGTCGAAGTCAACATCACTAAACCAATAAACCAATAAAATAATGAAGGAACAAGAAACCAACCAAGAAAAAAATATTTTCTGCTTCTCCCGGCGATACATCGTTTCATTTCAGAGAATCTACTTTTCCCGCCTTTTTTTTTTTCATTCAGCAATTTTTTTTTCTTGTGCTTCTTTTCGTTAGCGGCCACAAAGACCACCATTGCTATTTGCTAAGCAAACCAACAATATGAAGTCTTTAAAAACTTATAATAATTAGAAAAACAATTGCATATCGCAAATCAGTATGGCCAATTGATAATTGAACTATGACCCCGTAAAGAAACTTTAATGAAAAAACAAATATTAACACGTTTTAAGTTCTTGGGCTCGAATCGAGGAATCGGAGAGCCGAGTTCGAATTCCAGTAGAATCCATCACATTCACTTACGTGCTAATACCCTTGGGAAATGTATGAATCCTCTTCTTCTCCCACCAGTGTAAATAGCAGAACAGATGGATGGCAACTGGTCTACTGCAGAAAGAAATGGCAACCTACTGCGGGAAAAAATCTGCCTCGTCAGTCATGTATCAAAAGATATATGATCGCCTAAGCGTGTATCACGCATGGCACATAACTGATTATTTTGAATTTACTTCCAAAATGTCTGTCTGTCTGTAAAGGGCCTGTGGTTATTGAGATTGTTTAGGGCGTTCTCTTTACGACTATAAGACTCGGGTCCACATATCGCCATTGTTGATTTGACAGAAAGGTGAATTCTTGATATGATCAGCCTGGAGAGGCGATCCCAGGGTGCCATTGGAAAGAGCCTGGGAAAGTATTCCTACGGGTTGACCTGAGCGTTGTCAGTAAAACCGGGTGTTATTGAAACTGTTAAACACGCCAAATGTTGCGCTTTCTCCCAGAAACTATAACAAAGATCCGTCAGCATACATGCAGGAAAAAA